TTGCTCTGCAAATGACACCCCATTTATACTTTTAACAAGAAGGCAGCTCACATTAATACGAATATTGGGAGTTATTCCTCCACAGGAACATAATTTTGAAGCTACGAAATATATTTTTTATTATTTAACATCGAGAATACAAACTCCAGTGACCGGAATCCGGAGAGAAAGCAGGTTTTAGGGGAGGTTAAGTCAAACCTTTTTCGCTAAGCTCCCAACCCCCAATCGATTTTTGAAAGTGACATATCCCCGTTTATTAATTCTCGTAAATTTTTATTATTATGCAAAATTTGGCACGTGTTTTTCGCTGCACCAACGTGAGGAATGTGGCCAGCGGGAATCGGGACGGGGTACAGCGGCTGAGACCCACAACTTTCTGAAAATTTAGCATTGGCATCCCCTTTTCCGCCCAGCGTGGATGAGCGTCCGTTGCTCCATGCAGGCGAAAGCTTTTTGTCCCAGTTTCATAACTTCTTCTCAGCACGTGCACATCATCCCCTAGACCGATTGCCAATATAGTGTATCAGTGGTATGAACGTATGTACGCATAGTGGCATAGCTTCGGATGAGTGATAATTCACGCATACCGCGCAGCTACGGTCTGGCTTAGACGCCCGATTTCAATTGTTTTTCCTTTGCTTATGGAAAAAATAATGCCAGAGTAAAATATGGCTATGTTTACAGGCGGCGACACAGGTACTCACGCGATACGCTGCTCAAAGGGAGTGTTCCACATTTGTATGGGGTTTAAACTGAAATAGCCACCTTGATATCATTCGGCGCCGTTCACAGCCCTGCCCTCTAAAGGCATAAGCCCTTCAACTTTTGAGCTACACGCCTGCAAGCAAGGATGTGCGGACTATCTCGGGGGTGGGGGGGGTGGGGGGGGTCTATTCCAAGGTCACCCCAGGCGTCCATGACGCCATCATAACGTTTATCCAAATTCTGTCATTCCCTTAGCTGTGCAAGCGATCAAGGCCAAGAAAAATATAAACTGTCAATTTCGGCTGATATCTGGCGTAGTGAGGCATGATTTCCAGAGACAATGGCCGTCAATTTGCCCTCAGTCGATGCCGTGCAAGGCAAGATGGTGTAATCGAAATCAAATCATGGCCTATTCAGGGACATATTTACTAAACAGAGAAATCGTGTTGTCTACAGTTGTCTTTCGACTCATACCAATGGCTATAGATAAGCTTATTTCGCCATACATGGTGCTTGCTTCCACGTCCCCAAATGTGGAGCATACCCTTTAGGGGTCACAGAGTTCACATGCTTTTCCAGGTCTGCACCAACACCGTTTATAGTGTGGCCCTAAGCGCAGCCAATGTCCTCTGACGTGATGCATCCTCATCTCATGTCGATCCTCGTCGCGTTGATCCTCATGTCGCCATTAAGCAAAGCAAGCCTTCAGCCCCTGTCTCGCGCTGGAACTACATTCAGCTGCGGCTGAACTGGAGGGCAGGATCATGAGAAGACGGTCAAGTTTCACGACTTTAGGGATGGGTTCGCCTCCGTAGGGTTGGTATACGCCGTCTCTGCACGATTAGGAATAACGATGTTACGAACTTGAAAAGAAAAGAAGAAACGAATGAAAGGTCGCTCTTCAGGTAACATGAGTAATATGTTACAAACGTGATGAAGCAGAACGAGACGAGCGTGCGGTTTGTCCTGAAAGTTCAGTCGGTTAGGGCACCTGCCCTCCGATCCCGCCCACCCGTGGCGGGGTGGATTTGAGTCGCATTAGACGTCCACTGTCCTTGACAGGTGTGGGTCTGCGGCCGGTGGCAGCGCCCCCGCATTAAAGGTCAAGCGACGGTCACATGACAGGACTGACTTTGCCGTCCCCTTGTTCCACGCTTACTTCACCACCAAATTCTCCTGCTTCCTGAAATTGCACGATCCGTGGTGAGGGTGTGCACGCAACCAGAACTATGTAGTGTGGAGCTTGAATCCACGAATTCATCCACACACAGCCATACTCATCCGCAGCAACACACGAGTGCCGGCAACAGAAACAGCTCCATTTTGTGATGCTTAGCCAAGCTATCTTATGGACTTAACTCATCTTGTTAGTCTATGTCTAATTAACTCTAAAGATAGGCAGTGCCATCATCTGTCTTTTCGACTTATAAATGTAAAACAGGATTACAGGATTTGGTGAGTGCTAAACTTTCAGCATCACTTCTTGTTTGCAGCATCAACACTATTCATCGCTTTACAGTTCGGTGTCAGCTGGCCACTGGCCAATAACGCCCACTTCCATCATTTGCCTCAGAGCCCTGGTCTGAAACTGGTTTCGTGTCAGTATCAAAATGATTTCTGTTGCTTGTCATGCAAAGTACACTGCTGGAGAGTGGCGATGCTAGATGTGCGTACCATAACAATCATTTTCAGTGACTGGTGAACTTAAACATAATAGGCATAGGGGTAGCAGGAAGCTACAGGTCAACTTCCGAACGGGCCTTAGTGCGAAAGTGGATGGTGACCATTGGCCCTCTGCCAACTCGTGTGACGACAGCCTGTCGTCAGCAATGAGGACGTCATACCGCTAGCCAATCACTGTGTACATTTGTACCCAACGTGTAACGCTGTGAAGCTGTTAAATTGAATAATCTGTTCTTTATTGTGTATGTATAATAAGCTTTTTTCTTTCGGCGCATTCAAATTTTTCCAGTCCTCGCTAACAATCCTATCTCAGTTGAAATCCCAATATGAAGGTGAAAGTTTCACTTCAGCTTTCTGTCTTTGGTGAGTGCCGGTCTGGAGACTAGCAACAACAGGACGAGCGGGGCCAGGCGGGAAACCCGGCTGTACAGAGTCGGAACCCACACACGGAAAACGCCCGGGAGGGAAGACAACCGGCGACAGAAGACCCGGCATTAGCAGCCGGGCCCGCCGCCGCCACCAAAATCACTCCTCCAGAACCGGGCTCCCAATCGATGGCAGCCCTTTGATGTTTGGCGCCCGGTTCCCACAGGCAGCCAGCGCCGTGAAATCCGCCGAAATTACAAAACTTGGGGCCGGGGGCTGGGGAAGGAAAGTGAACACATGACGTCAGCAGCGATGACAATTGGCATTGGACGAGCGCGGCCGGCGGCGCTGCCCGTAAGCCCCGAACAATGCGGGCCGCGCGGTGCTTAAATCTCGAACAGCCGGCCGCTAATACCTGGGCGGAGGGTAGACATAAAAACAGACTGACACTCTATTGGCCGTAATTTGTAAATGAGGCAGTGGAAGTGTGAGGCCGAACAAAACATAAGGGACGTAAGTGGCGCTTCGATCTTGCTTTGGCTTGTGTGCATCACATGGTAAAGGCGACAATGCGTCCGGTGGGATGTTAAAACTCAACAAATTACATGTTCAATATCGATCGTTACGAATCAAAATGACTGATTGTCGTACTGCAGTCAATGCTTGCACCTTATTTAAAAGTTGTACATTTCTAAATGCATGGATAAACGTCTCTTTCGTGCTTTATCTTCCTTATCACTCATGATAGCATTCCGACACGTTGGTGAACTGGCCACCTTAGTGCAACGCACTGCGTTCAAGTATTTCGGAGCCGTGGAGCCTCGGTAGGGACGAGGCCAAGCGTGCGCAGGCTGGAAACGATTTCAATCGAGTTCCATCCACGGTTGACCCATTTCCAATAGAACGCACAGCTGGGCACCGTTGCCTAGCACTGAGCCGACTGGACCAGGGAAGCGCCGAGCAATATGCTGCGGTTCAGATGTGAGAAAACGACGCAGCGAAATCAATAAGCGATTGATCATAAGCTTTATCAGCGCGGTGTCAAGCGTTTGTAAAGCGTCATCACGTATTTTATCAGAAATGCCGCAATGAAAGCCTGAAACGAACTCATCCAGCATATGGATAATCGGCATGCATGTTTTTCTTATGTTGAGTGTCGCGCACAGCCATGATTTTTGGCTCAACCCTGCCATCGCCTCGCTCATACTGAGCATTGCAAATGACAGACTCTTAGCTCAAACATGGTATCGCCCTTCTCCATATCGCCACGCGCCATGAGCATTCAGGTAATCTGCTAACCTGTAGTTACCGTTTCCATCAACTACATCTCTCGCCCTCCATCAATTCCACGACGTCTGATATCCTTATCCTATCATACTTTGTTAAATCGAGTATTGTTAAGCTTGTCAGACACAAGAAGCTTTCGTCGACATGTGGTGCTGTTTTTTCTGGGTGTAGGGGGGATGTTTACAGCTTTTCCTTTCAGACCAGGTGCAAATGATTACTGACCATAGGTGTAGACTACAGGCGTCGTAATGCCGAGCGAGCCGATTAATCTGTGCACCTCAAGCGGCCAGCACAATTTGCCGCGTCCTCATTCTCTGCAATGGCACCGATCGGTTCCTGTAACGTCCACTTTGTTCTTTCCCAAAGGCATGCGAACCTGAACTGTGACCACGTTTTACGCGCTGCACGTCTACGGTCGCCGTGCCCCGGCCCTGATGCGAACAAACCGGCTATCCAGCAGGGCAAGGCCGGACAGGTTTTCCGGACTCTACCGTGAAAAGTGGCCCACCGATGAGTGACTAACTGCAGCGTCCCGTTGTAGATCAAATCTCAATCGCCTAATGAGCGCTATGGTTCCGGCGTTGATGAGAGCGTGCTCGGGTGCGCCAGCACCGCCAATCACTCATGTCAGGCTGCTACAGCTGCAGGCTCTATCTCCAGCATCAGCTGCCGCGAGGATGCTGGCCAGATTACCGATTAAGGTTGGCCCACCAAGCTGGTGTGCATTGGCCTCTGGCGTTGGTGCCGGATGCAGACGACTTTCCACTGGTGCACTCGTGCCACCGTTTCTCAGTTGTCCTGTTTGCCGGTAGCCGAATCGAGCGCCACCAAGGAGAACTCTCGACTCTTGCTGGATGCGCCTCTGCTCGTCAAAACCGGTCTCAGCTTCCGTTAAGCCACTGGACGTTGAGTCCGGGTACGACTAATCATCGTGCCGTCGCACTGACGGAAACAGCGTCACCAGGGGCTGTCATTGTATTAACCATGAAGACGAAGCCCAGCAAATCACCTGCAGAAGTAATGCGCAGATGTTCGTGTGACCTGAAAGTGTTTGGTTCTCTCCTGCCTGGCGTTCTGCTTTCTCGGAGAGCACCTAACGGCCGGGCAGCCCCGCGGCGGCGTACGCCCGGTACCGCGGCGTACTGGGCGTACCTGTGGGGTACTGGCCGCGGTTGAGTGCCCCCAGAGCGGCACCGGTACATTCAACCTCAGACCGCCTGCAAAGTACCCAGCTTACTCAAGCAGCAGCACGTGACAGATAAAGCCGGCAAGGCGGGCAGCAAGCGAGAGCGTCTGCGCGATACGTCACTGTGCACTAGGCACGTTTGTCTGAGCCAGGTGTGGATCGAAATGTTGCGACGTTTTCACTGTCACAGAGTCATTGCCAGCAGCACAAGCAGTGATAGCCTGGCGGTGCTCCTGATGTTCAGGCCATACGGAGTCACACACAAAGTCACACGTCACAGGAAGCTTTCACCAAGAGTCAAACGTTACGGCTATTGTCCCCGCTGTCACACACCGACTGTCTGACATCTGACGTCACGAGTGTCGTCGCTGCCTGACATCATCGCTGTCTCTGCTGGTGGAAGCCGGAAACCACCTCTGTCTGATCGTTGTTGCCGTGAGAGGTCTGACGTCGCCATTGCCATCTGTATGACGTCAGCGTTGTCGTCGTAATCGGAGGTTGAGCGTTTCTGCAGGCGACACCAGTCAGGCAGGTGATCAGCGCCGCTAGCACGGGATCCGGTCAGCCTCGGCCCGGCCCCGGCCCGGCCCGGGCCCGGCCGGCTGGCGCAGCTGTGTACAGAAGCGGCGGGACTGAAAAGCGCCAGCGACCAGACTGAGAAACGCCAGCGGCGAGACTGAGAAGCAGCAGCGCAGGACGGCGAGGCGGCCAAGCGAGCGACGGCGACTGAGCGGCAGCAAAGGTCACTCTGGAACACCAGGAGCGGATCAGGTCACCCCGGCCACGCTGCCGAAATGTTTACGGACCCACAGTACTCATAGGCCGTGGAACGGGCGGCAGACTGCGCAGAGAGTGACTTGACAAGGCGATTCCTTGAAAGACAGAGCGCAAGCTGCGCCTACGCATGTCTCGAAGCACAATGGAAGTCACACATGGGGCCAACCAATGAGAATTACGTGGCTGAGTGAGCAGGTCTGGAATCATTGGCGGCCACCAAGGACAAGCAAACGCATTCAATGCACCCTTTGCGAAAATAACTCAAATCGTGGATTGTATTCGCGTGAGTCAGCAACTTAACACAATAACAAATCCACAAAATCGACAAATGCACAGTCTCAAATAGAGTTATGACATTTAAGTAAATTTCGTTATTTGCCTATCTAAGAGACACCTGTTTATACCACGACCTCCGCTTATATTTATTAAGCAATTACCTACAACTTCCATGACCGCAGTGGGCTTGCATCTCAAATGAAAATCACGTTTTCCAGGAATCGGCATTTGTAAATCATGGAAAAGCATCACCAATGTCTGAATACATTCCCGATAACAACACCACCAACCATCCCATCATCGTTATGTCCTAGAGCCATGCAACTCCTTGTTACAACCCTTACACCGCGGATGTAGAATGATGCATGTCAAGCAGCCGACTTACATTTAAAATACATCCGCAATTGCACCGCGACCGAAACAGTTCGACCCATATGGCTTTCGATGTATGTGTTCACAACGCTCAATCACGCTAGTGAACAGTGCCGACTCCTTTCGGCTGCGTCTTCCGCAACATCAACAACTAAAACTATCCTGATCAACAGGACGAGCACCCATGGCCAGCATGGTTATAGTATGATATGTATCAGGTTATCACGAGATCTGGAGATAGTCTCTCGGCCTCTGCTGATGACCACGCCCTTTAACTCATCGCACACAACAGCCAATCAGGAACGCAAAGAAAAAATGCAAGACATCTCTCGGACAAAACACGAACATGAACGTCAAGTGATATGACAGCTGACAGGTTACGCGAACAGAACGTACAATAGACGTGCCTTCGCCAGCGTTTTTCGTTTCAAGGTGAAGTAACACCTTCACGTCGTCCATAATAGCATAAAACAAACTGAGCGACCTACAGAATAACGCCCAGTTAAAGAACCACCACAGGGACGGTGCATCGACGCTGAAGACCGCTGACGACGACCCTCGTGAGCCTCAACCGGCTACTGACGCGGGCCGGCCCCTCGCCGTCGCCTTCAGGTTACCGTTCTCGTCGAAGATGGAGGGTCTGAAGGTTGTGGCGGGCGTGCTCCAGGCGTGCACGGCGCCCGGCTGCTGCGTGGCGCCGGACTGGCGCGCGACGCGGCCGCCCCAGGCGACGGGGCCGCTTCTAGGGACCGGCTCCCGAGTGCTGCGTCTTGCCGGTGGTCGGCGAGTGGTGCGCCTTGCCGGTGGTCGGCGAGTGGTGTGTTTGGTGGTGGATGGGCGCCTGGTGGTGGTTGGTCGTTTGGTGGTGGCTGTTCTTTTGCCGGATGGCCGGCGAGTGGTGGGTTTAGTAGTATTTGGTCGGCGAATAGGCCGTTTCGTGGTGGTCCGTGTCCAAATGTTACGAGGTTTGGCAGTGGCTGATCGTTTGGTGGTGGTAACGGGCCGCCTGGTGGTGACGGATCGTTTGGTGTGTGCCAGGTCGCCTGGTGGGTGACGGGACGCCTGGTGTTGGCGGGGTCGTTTGGTGGTGACGGGCCGCCTGGTGATAACGGGCCCCGCCTGGTGGTGACGGGTCGTTTTCTGGCGACGGATCGTTTGGTGGTGACAGGTCGCCTGGTGGTGCCGGGCCGCCTGGTGGTGACGGGTCGTTTGGTGGTGACAGGTCTTCTTCTGGTGACGGACCGCTTGGTAGTGACGGGTCGCCTGGTGGTGACGGATCGTTTGGGTGGTGATAAGGTCGCCTGGCGGTGACGGGTCGTTTGGTGGTGACCGGGCCCGCCCTACTGGTGGTGGTTGGTCGTTTAGTGGTTGACTGGTCTTTTGCCGGATGGTCCGGCGAGGGTGGGTTTGGCAGTATTGGTCGGCGAGTGGGCCGTTTCGTAGTGGTCCGTGTCCAAATGTTATGGGGTTTGGTGTGGCTGATCGTTTTGGTGGTGACGGGCCGTCTGGTGGTGACGGGCCGTCTGGTGGTAACGGGCCGTCTGGTGGTGACGGGTCGTTTGGTGGTGGCGGGTCGTCTGGTGGTAACGGGCCGTCTGGTGGTGACGGGCCGTTTGGTGGTGACGGGTCGTTTGGTGGAGACGGGTCGTCTGGTGGTGACGGGCCGTCTGGTGGTGACGGGTCGTTTGGTGGTGACGGGTCGTCTGGTTGGTAACGGGCCGTCTGGTGGTGACGGGTCGTTTGGTGGTGACGGGTCGTCTGGTGGTAACGGGCCGTCTGGTGGTGACGGGCCGTTTGGTGGTGACGGGTCGTTTGGTGGTGACGGGTCGTCTGGTGGTGACGGGCCGCCTGGCGGTTGACGGGTCGTTTGGTGGTAACGAGCCGTCTGGTGGTGACGGGTCGTTTGGTGGCGATTTCTTGCCGTGTGGTGGCAGGAGCTCTCGTGACAGCAGGTCGTCTGCCCGAGGCGGCTGCGGGCCGAAGCCTTCCTGGTCGGACAGAGGATGCACTACCGGAGTAGGGTCTTCTGTACCCCGGGACGAGCTCTCAGAGCTACTCAGCGAGGAGGAAGAAGCGGAAGAGCTGCTAAGAAACATGTTGTTTGGAAAGCGATTCGCTGCGGGTGGGGAGGAGCCTCCGGAGCCACTGAGGAACATGTTGTTGGGAAATCGGTTTGCTGCTGGCACGGAGGAGCCCTGAGAGGTACTGGAAGAGGTGCTGGATCCGCTGAGGAACATGTTGTTGGGGTAGATATTCACTGCCGGCGGGGAGGAGCTTTGGGAACTGCTGAGGAACATATTGTTGGGAAAGCGATTCGCTGCGGGTGGGGAGGTGCTTCCGGAGCCACTGAGGAACATGTTGTTCGGAAAGCGATCCGCTGCGGGTGGGGCGGAGCTTCTGGAGCTACTGAGGAACATGTTGTTGGGAAAGCGATTCGCTGCGGGTGGGGAGGAGCTCTCGGAGCCACTGAGGAACATGTTGTTGGGAAAGCGATTCGTTGCGGGTGGGGAGGCGCTCCCGGAGTCACTGAGGAACATGTTGTTGGGAAAGCGATTCGCTGCGGGTGGGGAGGAGCTTCTGGAGCCGCTGAGAAACATGTTGTTCGGGAAGGCATTCGGTGCGGGCTGAGAGGCGACCGTAGAGCTTCGGAGAAATACATTGCCGGTGCCCGGTCGCGAGGTGGGGGCCGACTGGGGGGTCCTAGCCGGCGTGTCACCGATGAACGGGTTGCGTTGCGTGTCGTCCTTCCAGCCCTTCCGGGCGCGCACGTAGGGCACAAGTCTACCTTTGTCGTGATTCCTGGTGCGTACTAGCTGGTTGAAGAGCGGCGCCAGGTTGTTGAAGTGAGTGTGCGCGTTCGTTCGTTCGTTTGGCTGGTCCGTCGACGTCGTCGTGGTGGTGCTACTCGTGGTGCGGTCGCAGCCAATTGTGTACGATGTCATATCCGAGCCGCGACACTTGTTCTTCCATGCCGTCCTGAAACAGGCGCGTCGGCGTTTACCGGGTGCGAGAAGCCTGCTGGCGGCGACCACAGCGGCCATCGGCGTCCCACCGGCCTGCGACTGGGCGATTTGAGCGACCAAATGAACCGACGTCGCGGAGATCTTACGACCTCTACCCGGGACGGAAGAGCGCTGTTACGAGCAAACAATCTCTCGGCCACCGGCTCGGCTGTTAGCAGCGTGGTCCGAACAGGACCCAGCCATTCCTCTGTGTCATAAAACGGCTCGCCTGTGGTCAACACGACACAAAGCCGCCAAGCCGGCTTCGCTTGGAGGAGGGATTACGAGTGACGCGCGCAGGCCCCGCGTAGCGGCTCCAGACGGCCGGCGGCGGCGAAGATCCGCGTGGGGTACTGATGTCGACGCCCTCTCACCAAGCCATGAAGCCGTTGCCCTGCAGACGCTGGTGCTCCTTGTGGATCATCATGACGCACGCCAGGTCGTCTGTGATGTCGTTGTCGTGGAACGCTGCGGGGGGGTGGCGGGGGTGCGTCAGGTGGGCGTTGTTGCGGATGGCCGATACACGTCCCACGTGCGACGGCGGTGCAGCCTGGACCGCTCCCGGCCGATATCACAGGCTAGTGACCGGACTGAGATCCGATCGCAAGCGCTCGCGCAGCCCGGGACGTACTTGGGATTCTATTCCCACCTGCGCAGCAACGACAAGCCCGATTTTTGCAGGTTCTCCCCGAGAGGCCGGGGTCGGCTGCCCAATCCTCTTGCGTCGCGGCTCAGAACCCCAGCAGGGATATTCTCTTATATCCTGCCGCCGACAGCACGGTCCGCCTCTGTCTAATGGCGTGCTAGCGCAAGCAGCGGCGCCACCGCCAGTGAGGCAGACGGGCTGGCGTGCAGCCCTGCGGGCGTCCGCGGCGGCGAGTCGCGCCGGACACAGCCGGACCGGGGCCGGGGGCAGCGGCGCCACCGCCAGTAAGGCAGACGGGCTGGCGTGCAGGCCTGCGGGCGTTCGCGGCGGCGTGTCGCGCCGAACACAGCCGGACTGGGGCCGGGGCTGTGTGGGGCACTCTGTCACGGTTGCAACAGCCGGGGACGCGTGACAGGGCGCGGCACGTGTCACCGCTCGGTCTACTGAGGGACGGCCGGGCCCCGCGGCTTCACTGTCGGCTCTCGTGCCGACTGGCCATCGGCGGTCGGGCCCGCCTCGCCCGCACACCGCAACAAGTGCGATGGCGCGTGCCGGGGCGGCGTGGCGCGGCGAACGCCGCCGCTACCGCCGAACGACTTATGGACGGTCGCGCGCCACGTCCGGCCCCCAGCAGGGGGAGGGGGGGGGGGGGCAGCGGCAGGCGGTGCATGAGCAGCCACGTTGGCAACAGTCGGCTGTAAAAGCAGAGGCTGGGTGAGGTTTTTGGTCGCCCGTCTTGTACCCTGTCAGGCTTTCCCTGACATGTAAAGTAATGAAATTGAAATGTGGTCGCCATAAGGGTTGGCAGGTAAGATGAGATATGATCGAGCATTAGAAGACAATGAAATTTTACTCAAACGCGGGACAATGCCTGATAACCACAGGTACTTGTGAGTGCTGTCAGAAGCTGAACTCTGCCTCTGCCAGGTTTTGATTAGCTGTTTGAATGCACTAAGACAGGTTGTCTGGATGGGCTTGGATTTGTCATTGGTTGAAATCCGCTGTGGGTGTTGACGTTTTTTAAATCCAACACTAAACTCAGCATCGGGACATTTTTTGTTGCAGAAACTGAGCCGGTAGGTGAAGCTCACTCTTGGGAATATGACAAAGTATATCAGGTACGCGCCAGTAGTAAATACTTTCCGTCGTTATCGGAGACCTGGCCACTTCTTGCCAGCAACTGGAATCCACGTAGCACCGTGCCTGCAACTAGCAGCGTCTACATTTCTTCGTGGAGAAACATTGCATTCTAGCCACAAGACCTCCGGGACGAATATCAGCAAATGTTGTGGTTGGTAAAAAGGGGAGGAATGCCGTGGGCCGCACCATGACATAATTGGCAGGATCAGCGAGTTGTGGTCCGCTACAACGGCGGCAGCGTACCGTGCCTGTCATGCAGTTACAGGACGTCCTGGGGTCATTCATTAGGCAGCGCATGACTGCTATTTGCTACGGGGCCGAGGTCCGGTGTGAGTCAGAATAGACCCGGCGGAGCACGCTGAGCCCGGCCGCCGCCGCCGTCGGGCCGAGCGGTGGCCGGAGCGGCCAGGCTGGGGTCATCGGTGGCCTTGCGAGGCGCCGCCGCTCCGCCTCGTTCCATGCCTGGCGGCCCACTGCAGCCAGCGCTATCCGACTAATCAGGATTACCAGGAGGACAGTCGGCGACCACCACTGGACAGCCGCCGGCACGGACGGCTCACCGCTCGCCGGCCTTGAGGCGGGCATATGCATTGCCGCCGCGCGGTGCGCTCAGGTAATCCGACTCACCACAGGACGTGCATTGCCGCCCCGTGCGCCCAGGTAAGCCGACTCACCATCGGACGTGCATTGACAAGTGACGGAAATAGCTTTGGTGCGGATTTGGGCGGCGGCTGGCGTCAGGAATGCCACCTGAACGCGGACACTGTTGGCGACGGCTGGCGTCAGGAATGCCACCTGAACACGGACACTATTGGCGACGGCTGGCGTCAGGAATGCCACCTGAACACGGACACTATTGGCGACGGCTGGCGTCAGGAATGCCACCTGAACGCGGACACTATTAGCGACGGCTGGCGTCGGGAATGCCACCTGAACACGGACACTATTGGCGACGGCTGGCGTCGGGAATGCCACCTGAACACGGACACTATTGGCGACGGCTGGCGTCGGGAATGCCACCTGAACACGGACACTATTGGCGATGGCTGGCGTTAGGAATGTCACCTGAACACGGACACTATTGGCGACGCGTCCGCGACGAAAACCGAACATTTTCAGGCAGCTCACCCCGTTATAAGTTGCATTTGTCCGATCCTAGAGAGGAAGCCGCGGCTGGCATGAGCCTCGCTCCCCAGTCTGGCCAAGGCCAACAGTCGCCGGCAGTTTCTGGAGGCAACGGCTGCGATGGCCGCCCAGGCCGCTCATCCCGTTGGCTCATGGGACACGGTGTGGCAGCCAGCGCCTGTGGCCGCGGATGGGTTACCGCGATCACCCCTGTCCTACGTGACCCGTCCACCGCGTGTTGAGCTTACCCCGCAGGGCATCGTCCGTCCGTACACGGAATACAGCTTTGCACGATGGCCAGTGTGGATTGCTGCACGACAGTGTGAGCGCGCGTGAAGCGCTGCCAGGGCGAAGCTAACCAGGATATTAGCCGGAGGTGGACCGACTTAGACAGGACGGAGTCGACCCGCAACAGAGCGCGGGCTGGCCAAGATGAGACAGAGTCAAGTCTGCGATAAAGCGCGGAGCGGGTCTCGAATTGACCTGAACTGAACTGAACTGAATTAAACTAAACTAAACTATACTGAAATAGACTGAACTGAACTAAATTCAGCTGAACTGAGCTAGCCTGACCTGACCTGACCAGACCTGACATGACTTGACCTGACCTTACCTGACCTGACATGAACTGAATTGAACTGACCTGTCTAAGCATAGGGAGTGTGGTCTCAACTTGAAAAAGCATACCGAGGCAATGGCATGGACAGCGCTATGCCCAGTTCCGCACATCTGACATCGTTTCGTGCAGACTATAGCGTGCTGGTCGCTTGGTAAGCTATCGTAATCCTCTTTTAGGATTCGAATTGTGGCGGCCCACTCTTGCCTTAACGGATTGGATGAAAGGTTCTGATCAATTCCTCTGATGGATCCATAGTAACAGCAACGTAGATTACACACCTGTACTGAGCTTCGGGGTTCTGCCAAAAGGCTTACACCTTTACATGACTTCACGGATGAAAATTAAGTAATTTCTGTTCAACTTTGAAAAGCGGGGAGCCTATGCTCGAACTTAAATATCAAAGATTGTGCTTAATTCGGCCTCAAAGTGACTGGAGTTGTTGCAGGAAATATACTTGAATCCCACAGAAAAAGTCGCGCAGAACCTAGTCACTGATCATTGCTTAGAATATGCTAGAAAATCATCACACATAAGTATGATTATGAAAGACGCCTAGAGAAGACAAGGTTCTAAACATGCCTCGCTGGAAATTTGTTTTAGGGAGAAAAATCATACAAAGAGAGACTGTAAAAACTGCACTGCAACAGAGGAACTACACCACGCGTCAAGGGTCAGGCCCAGGCCAGAAGCCGAGGAAGGGCGAAACATCATACTCACCGTCACAGCTCTTGCGGCACATGTTCTTGTAGCGCCTGCCGGGCTCCTTATGGCGCCAGTCACACCAGTAGATGTCCGAGATCTGGAAGAGGCCGTGGTCGACCGAGTTGTCCCAGTTGAGGCGACCCTCGGCGTTGGTGTCGTAGCGGGACTCGTGGTAAGCCAGGCACACCCCTGTCGGAGGGCCGGGCACACGTCACGTGACTGTCCTCGGGTAAGGTTGGGTAAGGTCGGGTAAGGTCGGGTCGGGTAAGGTAAGGTCGGGACGGTGCCACCTAGACGCTGATGTGGTGACTGTAATCAAAATGCATACACGGCCTAAGTTGGAAATGAGCTCCCGAGGGTTTGTGGTCCAACCCGAGGATCGTAGCAACTGATGATGTTGCATTTTAGTGACGCATTGATGAACATTGCGAATGAATCAAATCCGCCATGAAGATACGCAAGGCGAAATTAATGGATTCTGTGGTCCCACTGTTACAAACTTGCTTATGCACAAGTACGCGTCAGTCGGTCTGAAACAGCTAAGTCACAAACTTAGCACTTCGTCTCGGATCATGGGATAAATTATATGGCATTTGCTCTGCGTTCACAAAAACGGGCTTGACCGCGGTCGATATATCTATGCTTTACAATTTGCTGCTCGAACTTGAAAACATCCTATTTAGACCCATGGAGCTGATTTACCTCAGCTGCATTGTTCGATTGATTCCTCGGCAGTGATAGTGACCTGACGTGGGAGTTTGAGCGCGACAAAAGTTGAAATATAAAACACATTAACAGGAAGAGTAACATCGACAGCTGAACTGTGACATGCCCACACTGTGCGTCCTGGCGACTCCCGTGCGCGTCTGGATGACTGCGCGCGAGAGCCATTTCTGGGGAGGTGTGGGCAGTGGCGTTACTCACAGTCGGACAGGTCCTTCTCAGGGACGCCCTTGCGGCGCAGCTCGTTGACCAGCTGGCACCGCTCGTACACCATCGCCCGACAGACATCCTGGAGGAGCAGGAGGCTTACTGCCGCCAGCATGCCGCCCATTCTGCGAACGGAGAACGGTGTAGGTGTCACGTGGCACGTGGGGCTCAGCTCTCCGGGAGGTGCCAACAGGAGCTCTCAGAGCTTGCCCTGCAGCTATGGGAGGGGGGGGGGGGGGCTTAGGGACGAGCGGCCGTGACCGGGACGGCGGAGAGGAAGTTACCTCTGCATGTGGTAACGCTGGTCGGCGATGTTTGGACCAGAGCCGTGTCGTGGGTGCGCTCCGGGAGAACAACAGCCAGTGATTGTCTTGGTTCGATAGCCTTGAAGTTCGCGCCGCATGCAGCTGTGCTGGCAGCCGCGCGCCGCCCCTAAGCCGACAGGACCCTCTTAACCATGGGAGTTAAGCTATTTAGGTCGGACGCTTAGTTACGGTTCCGTGTCTATGTTACGTCCGATGGATAGTTTCGTATTAACGTGCACTAATGCGGACCGTAAGGCTTCATCTTGTGGAGGGTGAGGTGGTGAAATGAAGGTGTTTGTGGAAATTCCTTCATCTGACTCTGCGTTTTGCTCACAGCCAACACTAATCTTTCTCAATAACAGAGGAGGAATGTTGTTCTTCATCGGTGCGCTGGTAGTAGTCCTTTGTGGTTTTCAGGTCGCGTCAGGTGTCGGGCCAACCGCCTCTACCCACCATTGAGATATTAATCCCCATGCAATATTCATTATCCCGAAGCATGTAAGCCTGGATAGAGGTCTAAACAGTGTTTATCGAGAGCTCGGCCAGCAGTGGGTAGCAAATGACCTCGGCGGTCGGCTCGCTTCCCCAAAACAATCATTAATATGGGCGATCAGCGATGGCGCAGCGAAGTTGACGTAAACCATGCTTCTTCTGTCAGCTTAGCCGGTTTTACGTGGGCGGGTTGACCCCCGCCAATTTTTCACTCAGCATGCTATATACAAGAAAACATGACCGTGACCTTGTACGTGAGCAACAGCTTTCACTTAGGTTATTTTATGCAATACTTTAGGGTTAAATTTTATGCAATACTTGCTGTACTGTGTGATAAGCGGCAGTCTGAGTTCATCAGCATTCACATTGAATAGCCTCGGATTCGGGACTTAAATGCAATATGTTTATCATGGTTTATTAACAAAGTTGAAATACCATTAAACTCTCGATTTGCATAACTTGACCCAGCGTAACCATGATCTGAATGCAGGGCTGTAGTTCCCTCTTCAGTTGGGGGAGGGCTCCAGCCCCTTTCCCTACAACGCGGCTTCCGCTCCCCCCCCCCCCCCCCCCTCCCCTCCCAACTCTGAGACAAGATGGGTCCAATCTATAGAGGTTTGTTGGCTATTTTGGGGCAGGTTTTGCCATTTTTAACTGTTTAGTCCCAAGCAAATTTTGCAAAATAACTCCGCTGTCTGATTGGCACGTCGCCATTGATAAATAAGTCGTTTTGATGCGTTGGAAAAAAACGGTAGCTTACGTATTCCAGCTAACGCAGCTAACACACTCTGTGAAGAATCGTCGCCAAAGAACTGGATATCCATTGAGCGTGGTATCCAGAATGCGTCACGGGACGTATTTTGTAAGTACAAAGCGGATAAGGATGCTTTTTCACACTTCTCAAGTGCAAACGTTTTAGAACAACACCAAGGCGTCATAGTTTGACCCGAAGGAAGTTAAAATTGAGACTGAGTTCAGGTGCAAATAAGCTGCGATATCTGCTGGAAGAACGGGGCGGGGGTCGCTCGAGCTTTTAGAAGGTCGGGGAAGGCCAGTTTTCAAGGTGAGCATTCGCCGTGAACGAGGCCTCTTCAGGCCAAACGGTCCTCTAACGAGCTGCGGTCTTGATTACACTTGTAACTGTTTGGTAATGCGATGCTTGGTAATGTGTGCACACATTCCGTGGGAGCTACGAAGGAGAAACGAACCGCGTGAAGTTTCCCTTATGCAAAGTCATATGCCACTTCTCACCTATCTAGATGAGCAGCCCTTGTTGGAATCAAAAGTAAATGCAAAGGCAAGCACATGTTAGATCTTGCAGTGCGGTGTATTACCAGCTTTCACATAGTATCACGAAGCCATCAAATACGCGTACGTTACTTAACACTTGTGCCCCCATAGCAATGCGGCCTCTTCTCGATCCAGGCAAGGACCTCTTCTCAGTCACAACAGTCCTGCTCCCAGTCATAAGAGAAACCACCCCTTCATCGCTTGAGGTTTCCTGTCCTGCTACACCATGACCGCATTCGTCATGACGAGGATATGCTGCTGAACAACGGACTTCAGTCATACAATGTGTCCATCTCACAGGTGGCGGCGACCTGCTCTCCTGTCAGGACAGGTGTCTGCTGCCATGTCTGGGTTCTACATCGCATAAGGGTCATGTCTCAATGCGACCTCCCCTCGTTCGTGACCGAACTACGCTTTGAAAGTTATCGTGACTTCCTCCCAGGCCGACCAAGGAGCTTCTGCTGCACAGCGACTTGGAACCATTCAGCTTACTTGTATGACGAAGATCTCCTGTACTGCTAGCTCTCAGATCGCTCCTATACTGGATTGGGCATCCTCACCGTCATGGCGCGGCTTACCTGTTCCGTGAATCTCAACCATGCGCCACCCTCATGTAATTGAGGCCTCATTTCATTGATGTTAGGGAGCTCACGCGGCACGACCAAGGGCGGTGCCACGGACTTTGAGTTGGGGGCCAGATTTTTCAGAGGACCTCCTGGGAAAAATGAGACCACCTCACAACGCCGTCTTCTGCACAGTGTTTTATTCAAGGGGAAGGGACAACGTAGGTGATAATATCAAAAAAATATCATCGAGAGAAATAACTATCGACAGTTGGACAGGCCAGAATCGAAACCTTCCACTTGTTCAGCAAAGGGTTTCGCTAGCCTAAAACAGCGTCTCATGTCTAAAGGGCTTCCCATATATAGGGGAGCCTCCTAATCCCGAACAAGGTGCAAGGTCCCGTGAAGGGGACCCCAGAGCCAACGCAGGGGCCTCCTTAGTACAAGATTGGGCCTCCTTATCCAGAGGATCGACCACCCTATTAAAATAAGATGGCCTAATGATCTAGTAAACGGACTTTTTAAAGCGGAAGAGGGTCTTCTGAGACGCATCTATTGCCCTCCAGCTCAGGTATAAGGGCCTCCTTAATGTGATTTTTGGTCTTATATGACTAACTGCAATACCTTAAAGGTGGAAAAGGAGACTGCTCAAAAAGGGGGAGGCAAAAACATCCTCTTGCCCCGTTTGCCCCCTGGCGTCGCCGCCCGTCGTGGCGTCGTGGCGTCGCCCCTGAGCACGACCTCTTCCGACCGGTCCCAGCCCCCGATCCTTCTGGGATCTGGGGCTGGGAAGTTCTCTATATCATTGAGATTGTACGTTAACGCCGGCGGCCGCGCTTCGAGACCGCATTATTGCTGTTAACCATGCACAACAAATGTGTCATGTCTTTCGGAGGGCGTCCGGAAATTTCAGGATGGGCGTATGGGCGCAGACGCCCGTTATGCTTATCTGGTGGTGCTGGCTCTGTAGATGAAATGCAAGGATTGAGTGTTGAATGGTTGGAGAGAAGGCTCCGGTGAAGCTGGCAGGACTGTGTCACCCCGTCCATCCCGTTGGGGGTTAGATCGCCTCAGCATTCATTAGCCAACGCCAGGCTTTGCCGCTATACCCGTCTGATCTCTCCGTCGCAGCACTTCCCTTTTCATGCCGCCTTGCCGATGATGGCGATGGTGAAAGCGACCCGCCCTTCCGGCGAACTTTTAAGCCGGCTAAATGCTCAGTTTCCTGCTGAGTACACTGTCACACATATTTGGTGCCCTCCAAGTATATGCAAATGCGTGGGCTCTGCAAGGGTGCCTTTCGGCCAGACGTCCTTGGAGTGAGTAACATGCATCGCCGATGCTGGCATTACCACAGCACATTTCTATTGACATAGTAATGAGTTGGCGAGGTCAGCACTTTTGACTTGTCGTGGTGCGCGGCATGTAACACACAGGATACACTGCCACTCCGCCATGCTAAAATAACAAATCCGACTTAAGAGCTTTCCAATCACACCAAATAAAAACTACCTTGCTCGCTAGGCCTGCCACGCAGCACACATGCATATTTTGTCCCTCGACTGTACAGCTTACCCGGCTGTCCAGTGTAGCGTCCTCTCTCTCTCTCTCTCTCCCCTCTCTCTCTCTCTCTCTCCTCTCTCTCTCTCTCATCTCTCTCTCTCTCTCTCTCTCTCTCTCTCTCTCTCTCTCTCTCTCTCTCTCTCTCTCTCTCTCTCTCTCTCTCTCTCTCCGTACCCGCTCGGCGTGCGCCGCCGCAGCCTCGGGTTCCCGCTGAACGATAAGGGGACCGGTCGGGTGACCCGTCGCACGGCGCCAACACCCCGGAACCGGCCCAAGCCAGGTCAGGCGCCGATAAAATGAACCCCGGAAATGGGACTCGGCCGGGCGGAGGATGGCCGAACCTGTTTGGGCCGACCACGGACGTGATCACCTGCGTGATCCGTGGCCGCTGATGGGTCGACGGGGGTCGCTGTGGAAAGCTGCCCGACTGGACCGGCTCTCTCTCTCCTCTCTCTCTCTCTCTCTCTCTCTCTCTCTCTCTCTCTCTCTCTCTCTCTCTCTCTCTCTCTCTCTCTCTCTCTCTCTCTCTCTCTCTCTCTCTCTCTCTGCCTCATATCTGGCAGCGGCTGCGCACTTTCTCCCAGCGATGTGGGCGCTGGCTCTACCACTCCACCGCTGTCAGCTGCAGGGCTGCTGCAGGGCTGCTCTCGCCCTAGCGAAGGCAGCAAAGCAGCACCGCTAGTGTGCTCAGATGGGTTGTGTTTAAGGCTGGGGACGCTTGGAGCCAGCCCTAACCGAATGTGAAATGGGAATTAAGAGATTGAACGTCATAGCTCAAGTCATAAGCCACAGAACTGTCAAGGGTCACAACCCGTCACAATAGCAGGAGGGCCGACAAAACAGCGCCTCTACTCCGGACAGAAAGGCCCTGACGCTGCGACAGCAGAACAAGCACCGTCACCCGCCGCACAACCGCGACGGACGACACCAGCTGTCGGGTGAACCCTCAACAGGTGACCCCTGGCGGCGCGCGGAGCGGGGCGTGGTGCGCCGTGTGACCTACCTGGCCATGCTGTCCGGTGCGCTCGGTCACCCACTGTGCTGAGCCAGGGGTCACGTCCGTCACTTATATAGCCGGCCGGCGGTCTCGACCGCGCCGCCTCGCACGCTCGCCTGACGGCCGCCGAATCTCAGCCGCCCGTCCGGCTTCGTCAGGTCCTTTGCACCGGCACGGTGCACCGGTGCACGGTCCGAACCGGGCGAAACCCGTCCCGGTCGCGGTGCAGCACGCCGGCGCAGGATACGCCGGAGATGCGCGTCCGCGGGATGAAGCGGCATCACCTGTCGCGCGGTGCGGTTGTCCATTTTTTCCCCGAACACCGCGGTGCCAGAAATATCTACGGCGACCGCTGATTGGCCAAGTCGGTAGCCGTGTGGGGGAGTCCAGACCGCCTCACCACCCGTCCTGGCTAGTTTACGGTCCAGTGCCACCGCTTATCCGTCAACGCCGTCTTAGTCACGGCGGGGGTCGGCGTATCGGCCGCCACTCCTTAACGCAGATAAAAATCCCGGATTCGCCTGGCCCACTGCTGACAGCCCGCGACGGTTCGCCACCCAAATTTCCGGAACCAGCCCGCAAACAGCTCGTCTGCGGTGGTGGCGGTGGCCAGCTGCGGGGCTCTCCGTGACCGCAGGGGGCTGGGCCTGGTCGCGGCGGGAGGAGGCGCGGCCGCCGGCGACGCATGACTCCGCGGCAGGCAGGTGCGCCGTGTCGCCGGCCGCCCACGCGACCCTACAGAGCCGCCAGCCGCTGAGCGTCGCGGCACGGCTGGCCCCGGCTCGCGCGGCTGGGCCGGTGACGCAGGACCACACCGCACCGCGCACTGGCCAGGCCAGCGGCACGAGCCGGGCACGAGGCCTGGGGCCTTTGGTGCGGCCAGACGAGTATAGTGGGCCAGAATATTTCCGGCTGACTGATCAGCGCGGCAAGAGGGGGGACAGATTGAGTGCGCTTCCATACCTACCTCCGCCAGCGTGCAGGACTCGTAACATCCTTTCTAACAAGGTTATTTCGACATTCTGGGGTTCAAGCTCTGGGGGGCACATGAAGATTCGCCGACGGCACAGACCTGCTTTGAGTAAGACAAAAGACAATATAGGCGTGTGACTTATGGAAAATAAAGCGATCTAAACTTTAAATATTTCAGGATATAACGAAGGTCAGAACGAAGGGCATACGCGGCCCTAAAAAATTCATTAAGTACTGATCCAGCGAGGACGGCATTCCTACCAGATGGCTGTCTTGCAGGATAAGTGCGTCTAAACACGGTTGTACGCAGTTGCAGCCTGGCCCTGTGTCTCGTGTCGTCGGATCGTGCCGTGTGCTGCGCGCGCCGCCGCCGCCGCCGCCGCCGCCGCTACCGCCGTCGGCTGGGGGCAGCGCGGCACGGCGCCCGTCATCCATCTCGCCGCGGGCGACGGCGGCGGTGCGCCACAATCGCGCGCGCCGATCGCCGCCAGAGCGCCATTTCTCCCCGCCACTTCTTACACTAGCCAGAGTGCGGTAAAAATGGCACTAATGGCGCCCAATCGAGTTACGGCGCACGTATGGCCGGCTCTGGTTTCCATCCGGCGGCGGGCATATCTATAACGAGAGACGCGGCGGCGGGCCGGCGCCTGGTGTTGACCTACATCATTACCAGTATTGACAGTGTTTACGGGCGGCGAGCAGCGTTCGGGGGCGCGGGGCCGCGCCGCTGCCGCACCACGCGCCCTAATCGAATGACGGTTGGCGCCCGGCCGCGCATCATTTGCCGTTATTGAGCCGCGCTGTTGTGGCGGTGTAAAACACAAGGCCACCAAACGCGGCCGCGCACGCGCGCGGCGATTGACGTTGACACTGATGGTTGGTACTCTTGGTCTGTACTCGGCGCCGCGGTCACTTAGCTGCGCCCGGCTGTCGGCGAAGAGGGGACAGGCACGTGCTGGCCGGGCCGCCCTGCGAGCGGCCAGGACCAGCATGGGACACACTGGGCCCTGGTGTCATTTGTACGCCAACTGCATGCGCAGTTATCGCTGATTGTATGGGAGGGGCGTCTGCAGCAACTGGGCACAGATCACGTGGCTGTTGTCTGGACACTGAACACGATCCATTGTCGTGTTTACAAACCACTGAGCATGGTACGCCCATGCATTTGTTAGTAGTCGTTCAGTAGCTAATCGCCCATGTGTTCCCACACACACACATACACACACACACACACACATATATATATATATATATATATATATATATATATATATATATATATATATATATATATCAAAATGGCGAGACTACACATGCGCGAAAAAATGCGATGACATTTAAGTTAGCGGATGGAAGTAATCACACGCATGACTGTAATGAAATACCGATATATGTATCAAGGTGTCGAATCAGGACAGAAAGCCTGTGGATAAGCTCCATATCGACAGGAAGCCAGTGGCTCGTACATATATCTTTTGGTCTCAAATGTATGCCGGCCAGCCGTCACTTGAATGCTAATGTACCGAAATGCAAGCATGCTCGGCAAGTTTGGAAAAAATTATATATGCCAATAAATTTTTAGAACACCTTTCAAATCCGCTCAAAGCCCTTCACTAGATACATTGCAGGCGTAGGACTGTATCTTGATGGATGTAAGCTGGCAGCACATGTCTGAAACGCTTGAAATATGTCGTACATTCCGAGCCCAAGTGGTTTGGAGTGTCTGCCTGAGCGTAGTGTGACCTCAATACGCCCACGATCGGTGGCCATTACCAGGCTGTTACGGGTCGGAGGGTGGGCGCTTTTAGAGCCGTCAATTTCCTGACTAGCGCTCGACTTCGCCAAATAGCGGCGCTGGTGCTCCGTTAGGGGAATTGGCGGCGTCCGCCGTCCGCGCTGCGTCGGCTGACGCGCAAAAACGCCCCGGGTTGTCACGCGGGCGCGGTTACGGGTCTATCGCGGCGTTTCGTGCGGCTCGGCGCAATTTGACGAGTGGCTCAGGTAATTAATTGGTAATTACTCAACAGCTTGTAAAACGGCCGAAAGTGGCGCAGCGCACCAACTGAGCTGGAGTGAATGCAGGACTGAAGGCAGGGCTTGCGGCGTAAAGGCTTGGCCAGCTGATGTATATTTGTGACCAGTAATCACGTATAAACTGCGTGGTACAACATTTTGCACTGATGCGTGTCGACACGCCACTACAGACTTCTATCTCACTTACGGTTGTTGCGCCTGACCCAGACGGGCAAGAGTTTAGCCTGGCGGGTCACATCTATTACGTCGATGTACCTCATATGACGTGTGTTCTCGCTCTGCCTTTTCTGCCTGCGTTGTTTTGTTTGCAGAGCTTGAGTTTTAACAGCAATGCACCTGTGAGTGGCTCATAGGCTGGTACACCGCATGACAATGCGGCGTGAATAAAACTCACGTGCTCGGCGTCCTCAGAGGGACGCGAACAACGTCCACCGTTCCGCTAACTCAGGCCCCGAACCGAAGCAGGCGGCTTTGAATCAATGGCAATCTCGTGCGGCCGCTGTCCAAGGACTTCTCATTTAGCGTGTTTACGCGCAATTTGATGCCGGCTGTCTGCTCTGGTCTGTTACCAGCCGAGTGGGCGGCCAGCAGCGAATAGGACATCAGCCGGTGTTCTTTCCGCAGGGGCGAGCGCGGCAGACAATTGACTGTGCCTCGATGTTGGGCTTTGTTGTGTGCGGGAAGGAACCAAGGGAGGCTCACGGGCATTGACAAGAGAGCTCTCGCAGTCGCAAAGGGTGACCTTTTGAAGCAGAAGAACCTTTAAAACTCCTTTGATTCACCGACTGGTCTACGACCTAAGAAATCGTATTGACACGGTGGAAGCGTTCCCTTATTGCGCGCTTGAGCGGATTCACGGACGCTTAATTCAATTATGAATTGGGCTTGAATGCACATAGGCGACGACAGCTAAAAGTCACACGCTAAGGCTTAGAGCACCACTAACATTCGCCACATTTGCTCATTTTCTCACTGATTCTGATCTTTTCCATACATAGCTGAGTGCCTTCTCAATCTGCAGATCGGTCAGTTAAATGATGTATAAACATCGCACTTTCAGCGCACGTTTTCATCGAGTTTGCATGGGTTCCGGGCTTATAAAAGACAATAACAATGGGTGGCGTTTTATTCAGGCAAAGCAAAAAGATCTTTCAAACCAGCGCAAATTTCGTCACTAGGTACGCTGCAAGCGAAGGACTGTATCCTGATTTGCATGTTGAGTGAAGTCTCCAAGTATCACATGGACTTGCCCTGCTAAACTTTGTCGAAGGCGGATACGTTGGTGAATATTGGTGAATAGGTGCAACGCCCTGTTATAGTCCTATAGGTGCGACATCCTATTATAGGCTTATATGTGCAACGTTCTGTTATAGTTTTATTGGTGTAACGCCCTATTATTGTCCTATTGGTGCAACATCCTAGCATAGTCCTATACGTGCAACGTCCTATTACAGTCCTGTAATACGTGCAATTGTCCTTCTCACCAACGTCTCGATTGACACCACGCTGAAAGCGTAGTGCCTAGTGACTCTGCGATCGCTCCCACAACATACTGCAGGCATGCCGACGACAGTGTGGTTGACGTAAAGGGGCTGGATCATTTTCTCCGTATCTTTGTAGCATTTGAGGGTAACTGAAGCCTAATTGGAATTGCTGAGGGTGGTCATAAACCAGAAGTGATGAAACCCACGCTCAGTGACTCTCGTTATTCAGTGGCTAAATAAGTGCGAATATGTGCAAGTAAGATACAGCAGCTTACGTTGAAATACAAATCATTGAAGTGACGCAACGAAAGTTCTACCGTCACTTCAAGGTACGAAGCACCATCGATAAGCGTAATTTGGAGTCTAGTACCAAAGGTTATTATCACTGGAAGCCCCTGAAATTTGCAGAAGGAAGGCGGCAGGGGAATCGCACGCAACGAACCCTCGACGCCGCACAAAAGACCACGGAGGCTGCGCTGCGCAGCCCCAGCACGTCCTGGCGGTCGCTGAGCCTGCAGCCCCAGCACGTCCTCGCGGCCGCTGGGCCAACAGCTCCAGCACGTCCTGGCGGCCGCTAGGCAACACCTCGGCTGCGGCCGGAGCACGGCCCAGAGGATGGCAGGAACTAACGGGGAATCATTGCATATGAAGTATCCCTCCACCGCACGCTGACCTGGACCAATGAGCAGTTACGCGCTTATTTCAGCGGCTGGTTTTGAATACGCGTAGGGCTGACACTGTACTTTTGCATCAATTCCAGTTCAGCGATGACTCATATGAGAGACAACAATATGAATAACTGTTATCTTCCTAGTGCAAAATGCGCTGCATGGTACCATGAGCTGCAGGGGCATGAGCGGAACTTTTCGGTTCGAGGATTAGAGTGATATGACGGTGATAGTCAACGCCAAGCGATACATGCAGGTGTTCGCTAAGCCCTAGAGGGCCCCGAAGCGTAGGTTTGGTAGCGCAATACCGCAGCGGGTCAAGCAGTGGCTCCAGCAAGATGTAGCCAAAGTTCACACATCCGGCAGGTTCCGAAATCACATACCAGAGGTGGCTCCGAAATATCTTCCTGAGCGGCTCTAAAAATATAATCTCCAATCTAATCTAATCTAATAACTGATCTTATCTCTAAAAATCTGGCCCTAATAAAAGAGGCGCAAAGCTGACCCATATGCTCACCCGGCCCCATTACCCTGAGTTTGTTTTTGCTCTAGTGTGACCTCAAGTCTCAGGTTTTCGAGCAAACCCCACCATCATCGACCAACGCTGCGGGATTCGCAGGTACACGAGGTGCGGCTTAAGGTATGACGCGCCGCCCTGGAAGCAGGGTGGCGTCGCGCTTCTCTCCAGCTGAATCTCACGGGTGGCCGCGAGCAGATGTGATCTGCAGCCGTGATTCAAAATGTGACATAGATGCGTCCATTTTCCAAAAAAATACTGGATTCACTGAGGGTGTGTTTTTTGGTTTACACACAATTTGGATGTCGGCCACGTGTTATTTTAATCCGCCTGTCTTTTCTGAGACACCCGGTAATTACAGGGCTTTGGGGTAGATGATGAGGTGGTGAAAAGTTCTCATAAGACCACTGTATGTTTAACTGACCAAGGTACTTGATTCGCAGCAGAAATGACCAAAATACATTAATGCCGTGGATGGTTGTCGTTTTGTTTCAATGAAAAATATAAAGCACGGTAAAATGATACAATGTAGTTACAATACAATGTAGTAGAGTATAAAAATTATGGGTTAGTTCATGTGCTCACATCGGTTCATAACCGTGCTATCAAAAGCAAGCACTGTTTAGATGTTCTTTAAGTACCACAATAATGTAGCACATATCCTTCTTTTCAAAATAAAGCTCAACCCAATCTTTTTGCACACACAAAATTTCGGCACCGTGCCTTGCCTTTTTACTAAGTCAAAACCTATTTCGGAGGTTCATTTCACTTAATGGCCAGAATTTTGTTTTCGTTTCGACACTCGCTTGCAAATGGTAAGTGCCACCGGAGAAAATTGATATTCGCTCATCAGATTCACGACAACGTAAAACAAGAATGCATATGTGATCCACAATGACCTTTTAAACGTGTATGGGCGATGACGTTCTTTCCGAGCAAAAGGGAGTGTCCCACATTTATATGGGGTTTTGAAATGAAATAGCCATCTTAAAGACCTTTCGGTGCTGTTCACAACCCTGTCTTTCTTAAGACCTAACTAAACCCCTCTAGTTTGTAAGGTACACCTCCGCGATAATGGGGCAAGGTTTATCGGGGAGAATATTTGAGTCACCTCGGAATTCATGACGTCATGATAACACCGTTCAAATCCTGTCATTTCATAAGCCATGCAGCGATCGAGGCCAAGAAAAATATTATTGTCGAGGCGTTCATATCTGGCGTACGTGAGCGCGATTTCCAGACATACCGGCCGTCAATTGCCTCTCAATGTCGTGCAAGGTACGATGACGTAATCAAACCATGACGCATTGAGGAGCATATTTACTAAAAAAATTGCGCTGTCTAGAGCAGTCTTGTCCATTTAAAATGTACATGAATAATCATAAGTGAGCCTGGTTCATCATGCCTGATGCTTGCTTCGACACATTCAGATGTGAGACACTCCCTTTAAAGGTGCGCAGGCGGGCGCGGGAGTTCGAGGGGGGCAGGGAGGGCATGCGGGAGCTGCTGAAGATCTGCAGCGGTGACTGGCCTCGCCCACGTCATCCAGGTGGATGCTGAGGTAATGGAAAATCATCCCACGAAGATGACCAAATAGCTCAAAATTTTGGTCACACCAACGGAACAGCCCACTTTACCATTCAGAATCGCCTGCAGATGTCTAAAAGCCTTCTCAAGGTGGTTAAACAGCGGTCGCATGAGTAGAAGGAAGAGAGGCCCAAGTTGGCACAAGGTCTGCAACGCTACCAAAAACACGAACATGGTTTGCGGAGTCACTCGTCGCCACAAATGAAAGCTTGTTGTCGGTACTGTACCCAGATACCAAGAAATAGTCGATAGAGTGGAAACACGCAGACTCTCGACCTCCCAAAATTCGGTGCGCGGGTATTCTCCAAAAAGGTGATGTGCGCCACATTTTGGGACCATGCGGACGTGGCATTACCCTAGCTTGTTTCTAAATGTAATCCTATTGCAGAATTGCTGCACGAACACATCCTGAGTAAACATGTCCTGGCGGTCATCTCCCGGCACTGCGCGGGGACGACACGCAGACGAACACCTCCTGAGTAAACATGTCCTCGCGGTCATCTCCCGGCACTGCGCGGGGACGACACGCAGACGAACACCTCCTGAGTAAACATGTCCTCGCGGTCATCTCCCGGCACTGCGCGGGGACGACACGCAGACGAACACCTCCTGAGTAAACATGTCCTGGCGGTCATCTCCCGGCACTGCGCGGGGACGACACGCAGACGAACACCTCCTGAGTAAACATGTCCTCGCGGTCATCTCCCGGCACTGCGCGGGGACGACACGCAGACGAACACCTCCTGAGTAAACATGTCCTCGCGGTCATCTCCCGGCACTGCGCGGGGAAGACGCGCAGACGAACACCTCCTGAGTAAACATGTCCTCGCGGTCATCTCCCGGCACTGCGCGGGGACGACACGCAGACGAACACCTCCTGAGTAAACATGTCCTGGCGGTCATCTCCGGCAATGCGCGGGGACGACACGCAGACGAACACCTCCTGATAAACATGTCCTGGCGGTCATCGGCCCGGCACATGGTGTCCGGCGGACCGCAATGCGCGGGACGACCGAGACAACACCTCTGAGTAAACATGTCTGCGGTCATCTCCCGGCACTGCGCGGGGACGACACGCAGACGAACACCTCTGAGTAAAATTCCTCGCGGTCATCTCCGCATACGACACGCAGACGAACACCTCCTGAGTAAACATGTCCTGGCGGTCATCTCCCGGCACTGTGCGGGGACGACACGCAGCCTGATCAGTTTTGACCGCGCCCCGCCTCATGCGACGGTGTCGCGACTGGAGCTCTGGCGACAACTTCCAGCCGCTGAGGCGTTCCCTGTATGCCCGGACTTCGTTCCAAGTGAAGTCTGGTTGTTCCCTCAAATGGATGATCGCCTCACTTGCGTCGCTATCTTTCGCGGTCAGCACTGGAATCGGCCTTATTTCAGCATGGCAAACGCGCCTTATTCAGAGGTTTGGTGAAGCCATGAATCAAACGCCTGGTACGCCGCTGGAAGAACTGCATTGAAAAACAGGGAGAAGGCGTAGAAAAATGAGTCATTGGTGATGGAAACATGTTGACAGATGTGCTGCCTTCAGTGAAACGGAGCGTACTTTGGGCGGCGCTGACCCAATTTCAGCCTATTTAACCTGAAAGGTCGCATGTTTTCCCTATGATCTAACCTTATGTAAGAATCCCCATTAATCAGATACAAAAAAGATTGCTTACACAAACCAGTGACTGAACATCTCCAATTCTTTCTAGAAGGTAATCTGAAATGCCTGCGGGTGACAAACTATTAGAAAAATTGCAGACCAACACGTAACTTAGTATTTCCGCGGTCATCATTATTGTGCAAGGGTTTTGTCTGTTATTTCGTTGGACGCAGGTAACATTACTTGCAGGAACGACTCGTGACATCCCATGCACAGCATTCCAAGGAAAACATATTTTCATCGCTGACAGCCCCTGATACTTACTAATTTAGTCATGCAAGTCAACAGCCATACCATAAAATGCCTGTTTTCTCAAAATATTTTATCATTGCATGAGCAGTGATACAATCAGACTTGCAACATTCTGGTGCAGTAAGCTTCACTCCATTACACAAAGCGGCAGTTCCTGGTGTCTTGTTGCGATCGACACTGCTAGTCTGATGCCACGCTTAGTGCGCACTCTCGATCAAAATTTGTTTATAAGCTTGCTCAGGATTAAGCTGATCACTTCCTCTTGCTGGTGGCGCTACCACCATTAGCGCCAACCGTATAAACCGTAGCCCATAAGTCTCCCGTCTGGAAGCTGACTGGCTCGCGAACTACTGTACGTCATTTTCCTGCGACGGAGCGAGAGGGCGCGGCAACCACATGACATTACGCCATGTGTGACCGCGACGAGCACGTTGTTCGTGTTTAGATCTGCGGGGATGCGAATCGGAGGGCAAGTTATGGGGGGGGGGGATGTTCGCCCTGATCAGTATCTCACGAAGGCAAGCGTTGTCACGGTTCTTAAGTCATGCAGCCAGCCATTGAACCAGCTGTGCTGGCTCCCGTCTTGATCAGTAATACACTGGCTTATAGCGGTACCGGTATCTCCCCATCTTTCTCAGATCCAAAGACACTATGAACGGACTCATCAGGACAGCACCACCTGGCGGGCACTGCTGTCGGAAGATCACTCTCCAGGTGGGATGAAAATCAACTTGGCTAAATATTAGCATTGTGTTAAGAAGCGGCCGGTAGAGTACACATTCACACTGCATGAACGATTGCATGACTTGCCTTGCCTAGAATGGACGGATGTGGTGAATGTCCATGGCATTAGCGCCCACGCACGGTTTTGTGAGTGCTCTTCAGGTGCCCTGGCCGTCGAGATAACAGCATTGGCGTGCATAGACGGCGGCTCAGAATTGATCTCTGATAATGCACCACGCGGTACATTCGATGCCGGGTGCAGCGAGCCATTGGGCGTTACAGTTATTTCGAAGGGGTGATCGACTTACCTTTTTTCTTACCCCTATCCATTGACAATCAACCAGGCTTGCCCCTCCTAAATCCCAGCGACACAGAAAAAATGTTAAACCACAAATCTTGGAGGCAAGTCGCGGTGGCACTCCTTGCTAAGAGGAGGATTTAAAAACTTTCAGAGCGAGCAGGCGAAGCTGGACAGCAGATAATCTCAGGAACTAGCAGCGATAAAAAGGTGATAGCGGCCTTATAGTGGTAAATAGTGGCCTTATCCAAAGCCACCGTACCACTGAAAGCTAATCCCTCCCCCCCCCCCACTTTATGCAAATAACTCACTCACCATGATATTGGCAAGGGTGATTCACGCAAGCCGGGAAAGGCACTGTCTGGTGAGGAAGATGCAACGCGCAGGTTTTTAAACAGGCCGCCCACCAGGTTAAACAAGTTCTGGAAAACAACTTATCAGAAGAACAAAGCCGCTCTTGGGCAAAAGTGTCGCACATATGGTATCTTAAGCTTGCAAACACACACATACACACACACACACACACACACACACACACACACACACACACACACACACACACACACACACACACACACACACACACACACACACACACACACACACACACACACACACACACACACACACATACACACACACACACACACACACACACACACACACACACACACACACACACACACACACGAACACACCGAGACACACAATCACACAGCGGTCCCTAGATAATAATCCAACTCCAGTATTTTTAGACTTGCCCGGTTCTAGCTTTTTTCCAAAAGTGGTCTATGGAGATCTTATAATGGTGGCATGAAACAAATGAATTCATGAAACAGCTCAGACGAAAAACATTTAAGAGTGCTTCACCTACAGTTTGTTCTATGATATGGAACAATGCATATATTATGCAGCCTTGTATTGGGGTAAAGATAGGGATAACTCCGTAAGTCAGCAAACACAGGACTTAGTTCGATACATGGCTAATGAACTTAAACACCATCATCAGTCGCTTTTTGCAATGCAGGCAAACCTCCAGATGCCTACCTCATATCAGATTCAGGCCAAGCATAGCACCTAGCACCTAAGGTCTAGGCACGGCCGACCGGCCGTTCACAGGTAAAGACCTGTACGGCGAAATGTAGAGAGGCATGGACCGATCACAGCATATCTCACGGGCATGTGACGCATCTAAAGCGAATGAACTGCAGCTAACAACAGACTCGCCGCGCTCACCACTCACCCGCACCACCGGCGGAGCGGCACGACTAGGGGGTCCGAGACCGTGTACAATCCAAGTACATTGTAATTGCTTGCCACTGAAAGGGGATGCTTCACATTTGGAGATAATGAGCTACGTCACTGTTTAATTGCGTCATTGCATCTTGCACAACAATGATTGCGAGCCAATTGACGGCCGTTTTGTCTGGAAATCGTGCTCACCCACGTCATGTATGAGCCACTCGACAGTTATCTATTTCTTGGTCTTGATCGGAGCATGGATAATGAAATGACAGGGTTTAAATGACGGTAATATAATACGCCATAATGACGGTATTAGGACGTCATGTATTTCAAGGTGACCTTGAAATATTCCCCACAATTATCCTGCCACATCTTTGTGGCATTTAAGCTCAGAGGCCAGAAAGAATCAAGTCTTACAAAGTGCATGGCCGTGAGCTGCATCGAAAGGTCTTCAATATGGCTATTTCAGTTCGAAACCCCATACAAATGTGGAACACTCCCTTTAAGGCTGCAGCATGCATAATCATGTTCGTCGCTAATTTTTGCGCATTCGCCTCGCTGGTCACACACATCTGCCAGTGACAGGTTGTTATCGTAACGGAAACAGTCCGGTGTTCCCGCGGCCTTATTCCGAATATGTCTGGTGTGCGCATCTTTACCTTTCAGGCCATTGCATTTCAATGTTTTTCTACGCAAATCATCATGTTTGCTTAACAACTTTACGTTTTCAGCTCGCTGGTCATGTACACCTTCCGCTAAGGATCTTTTCATTAGCTATGCGAATATCTCGATGTTCCGATTGCTTCTAAGTGATACGTCCGGCGCCCGACGGCCCGCCGCGCATTGGTGTCCTGGCACCATTGACGTCACGCTAACGTTAAGTGAACAAACGAGAATCACCGGACGGTTTTACCTGTCTTATATGGCCTTAAGTGTAAATCAACTATTTGGCAATTGACCTGAAAATGCTGGCCATCTGGACCGCTGTGGTGTGATTGCAAACACCAAGCAGTACTTTGGTCTTACTCCTTTCATGGGTGACGGGTATTCACGGATAAAGTCATCTCGGAAAACCTAGCCTGTTGTTTAAGGGAACATACCTTAACATGTCTCGCCTTTTAGTACTTTTCAACTTGCTGTTACATTAAACGTGTGCGGTTTGACCAGTGATACCAGTTTTCTCGAAATATCTCTGAATAGCTCAGAATTTCGATTTCAAGGAACCAACCCTGCGGGTCAAATCTCACTAGATTCCCTGTTCACTAGCATGAAAGAAGTGCATTTCATTTGTTTCGCTTTTTGCAACATGAGTGTTCTTTAGCACGCTCTCGGGTGGGGGTCAAATTGACCCTCCCGAAGGTTTCTCCTGAGTGATTTCCGAAAGGCGCGGTGTAGCTACGCCAAATTTTGTGTAGCTGTGGAAAATTACATGGCGGATCGTTTGGTTTTAAAAGTTAAGATGAACCTGGTAAGGTCGCTGACCTACGGCAGGTCAAATTGAGACCATGGGTTCTACGAAGTCAATTTATAGGGAATCGTTCAATCTGATGCGACAGCGGAGTGTCAGACGAAACCATACATCTCCGAGAGACTTTCTTAGGTAACACAACAATTGAATAAACAGGTTTCATTGACGTTATGTCAATTTTGAAGATCAGACCAAGGTCAAATCCAATCTATTTTATTACTTCAGGAGTTGTTGTATAAGGTAGTTTAAGGTGCTCATTTCGAATTTATTGATGATAGGAACCGCACTATACATCCCCCCTGAAC